GTTGCCCGTCACCCTAGGGTGGGGCCTCCGTAAATAATTTAATATAAGTATATTCGTTGACTACTTAAGGAAATTCTATTTCCACACCGGAAATATCCTCCTTGATAAAATTGAACATGTTTCGGATATGGGACATATTTATGTATGTATGTATGTATATATCTATTTAGATAATTTCGTAAATAATGTAAATAAAAGATGTCAGAGTCACGAGTGCTCATGGCATTTACACCAATTTTTGAACTGAATCTATATCGTCATTTCGTCTTTTTCCATAAAAGAATGTAAAAAACTTTTTGAATTGTGCAGTTTAAAAAAAGAAACAAAAATTAAACCAGAAATATTTTAGGGGATTCTCAAAGATAACGTTTAGACGAATATCCATTGAGAGTGATCAATATTAACCAGTTGTTCTACTATCATATTTGTATTTTGACATTTATGAGGGTATCAACAAAATGTCAATCTATGTGAATTTTCAGAGAAATCCCCTTAGAAAAATCATTTGAAAATCCAATTTTAATTAATTCTGAATCACACACGATAGTTCGGTTTGGTCATTGTAATTATAAGGAATGCATTTGTCGCTTGAACAAAAAAAGAATAAAAACTTTTTATTTTTAATACAAAACATGTGCGTTGGAAAGATTTGTAAGCTATGAGATGTTGTAGATTATTTATAATCCAAAAGAATTATTTGCTTCAATCATAATTGATAAAATAAAAAATGAACTACGATTTTTGTACGATTTTTTTTCTTTTTTATAAATCGGCTGATTTTACGGCAAGCAATTATAAAATCTTTCAAAAAAGAAAATTTAATGCAGCAGTTCATTTTTAGAGACAACATATTTAAAAAGATTTGAAAATATTTATGGGTATGTTGCAAAGATAACTTTTTTTCAGTCTTTTCTTATCATCGTATTTTCAGTAGAATTTCATTTTTTTCTAAAGCAAATCACTGCGTCGTTTGTGAAGATACAGATAATGGATTATTTACCGATGGGTATGATCAACATATTGTGAAAGAATAAGAGAATGATTGAATGAATGAAGAATCAATGATTGAGTGATTTTAAATCAAACAAAAGTGAATCAAGGCGAATGCTTTTAAGTATTTGTCAACTCTCTACCTAGGCAGCGAAGGCGTTAGATACACTTAAAGGAAAATATTTGAGTTCAATCATTAATATCATCATCATCACCATTATCATGAGAAAAAATTAAATTAATTCTCTTCTGTATTGGTATGTTGATCAATCATTATGTCAATTTCACCGTTTAACTTATTGAGCATAATATTTATGTCGTTAAACACTGTATCAGATTCATCTGGATCGTTAAGATTTGTATCGCACTCAGTTGTGGCTGGCGAAATAACTCTAGGTCCAGAACTACACAAAGGAATAGCTGTAGAGGCTGAAGAATTTGAAGATGATGTTGAAGATGATGAGGCTGACTGTGGCAACTCTCGGTTGAGTTGACGTTGCTTTATTGTACCGGCATTTTCATTAGCAAATGGAATTTGATCAATGGAATCAATGGATGAGTTGGACTAAAAAGAAATTTAATTATAAATTTTTGAATTGACACGACGAAAATATTTCACACACCATGCAAACTTCTGCTTGCGAATGCTCTACATGAACTTCCGCTTGTGTTTGATGCATTTGTCCGGCATAAAGTTTACCGAAATTGACACTGTTGTGAATCATTTGATTCTGATACATTAGTTGTTGCTGATGATGATGATGATACGAAGATTGGAATTGTGGTGTTGATGAGATGTTAGATCGACCATAATGTACATTAGATCCATCAATATAGCATTGCTCTACTTTCTGACTCAGATCATTTTCCAAAGACAAAGGCCCACTTTGTCGACGGATGGCGCATGTTGAGTCTGATGATGAAGGTGATGGAGTACTATAATACATGGACATTTGTTTTCTTGCTTCTGCTGTATAGTCAGTGTTGAAAAGCGGTTGTTTTGGAGGAAGATCAATTTTTGCTGACGATGTTGAACGTTTTGATTGACGTTGTTGTCGTGGAAGTGTCCCACCACCAGAAGAAGAATCATTTTTGGCTTCCATTATCTCATTTGTTGGCGTTATATCGCCATCGTCATAGCTCCTTCGCCAGTTCTATAAAGAAAAAATCAAAAATATTCGTAATTGAATCGCCACCGTCTTTCAATTCTTAATTACCAATGCATGTGTCATTGCTGGATGCTGATGATATTGTGCTTGAATCGACTGAATATTATAATTAGGGATAACGTGATGTTCTGGATGCATTCGAGGATCAAACATGTTTGATTTTGATGACAAATGAGAAAACTGTTCTTCATGAGACTGAAATATATTTAATAACTTATTTTATTCCTTTCATAAAATTGAAGTTTCAACTCACTTGTGTATACATTGGAGCTACGGAAATGGTTGGCTGAACTCCCACCGATGGCTGACAACAAAAGTTTATACAAGGCACAACTTTACCATTTAAAATATCTTTAACACGCTTTATAGCAAGCAAAATCTTCTTTTGATGTCCAAGTTTTATGATTCCAATGTCTTCTAAGTCTTCTTCATTTAACTTTGTCATATCACGAACAGATTGAAATCCTTCATTTTGAAGAGGATTTATGTACTCATCAAGGCGCAGAAGTCTTAGCCATTCATCAATTGAACCCTGAAAGAAAAACTTAATTATATTCATTGTCAATTTCTTTATTCCTTAATCAAAAATTTACCGGCACATAATGAGGTAAACTATCGTTCACTTGAAGTTCATCAATATGTGCTTTGATGACTTCTCTATGATGTGGATTAGTAATTCCAATAGCAGTGAGATCTTCGGGCGTCATTCTAGCAATTGTTCCTAAGTCATAACCTGCTGAGCTAAAATTCGCAGCGTATGGCAAGTAATCGTCTGAATTGAGCATCAAAAGCCAATTGGCAATGACATCATGGTCTGACTGCTGGTTCATTCGATCTACTGAACCAGTTAAATAACTAGAAGACCTTCCCGAGTCAAGGCTCACTGTAGAATGTCGAGATCCACTTCCAGCTGATCCTGAAGATGATCCTGGAGAGTCACGTCCTGGTGATTGTGTTAAGTCTATTCCCTGATCTTCCTGAAGCCCATATTGTTGATGGTAATAAACTGCTGCCTTATGAGTTATAGGATCGATGCGGGAGCCTCTTTGATACCCTACTGTAAGACATGAAGGTGAAAGAGGTTCCATTAAATGCCGTTTGAATCCACCATCATCATTAGATGTGGCAGATGGAGATGCAGGTCCTGTTGAATATCGGTATATTTCCGGTACAGATGGAGGTGCAACTTTCTTAGGTTGAGGGATTGATTTTTGTGGTCGTGACATGATTGACGATTTATTTACTGAAATTATTAAAATTATAAACAAATTAAATCTTTCACTTTTAACTTAATTTAACTTCATTCTTCTTAAGGTTTACAGCATTTAATAAATATTTTACGAAATCGTCTCTAAGATGCAATGTTCCGCATATGGTTAGTGTTTTTATGTATTAAAATAGTGTTCACTCTTTTCAGTTTAGAGAGAAAAACAAAAAAGCTGCTTCAGAATTCAACAATAATTTACATTTCGGAAAACTATCTGTTTCTTGATGTCTGTTGTAAATATTCTTTTTTGTTCTATTTTTATAAATTGATAAACCAGATGAAATATTGTGCATGGTAGGAAGAAGTAGGCGATCATCAAACTATGCGCCTATTTTTTCAAATATTCTTTCTCTCTTTTCTGCAAATATAATCTGCGTTCGAATCTCAGCAAACATAAAGTATTAGCAATGAGTGTTAACTAACAATATCTTTAACAATTTCTGGATGAGAATGGAATTTTAGCTCTGATTTAAAATAGCTGAAAAATGTTGAATATCAACACTAATAAAATAATTTTATACTACATTTGGAGAAAAAACTCATATTAATAAAGTAATTAACACAAATTAACACTGTTCTTTTGATTATAAAAGTGATTTTGCAATTATATTTTTCTAATCTATCAACGTATTTATAAATATATATTATTTATTGATTATGTGTCGGCTGCAATCAAATTCTTACCATTTAGCTTTCTCATATCCTATGTTTATCATTCAACACTTAAGAATTGAGACAACTCTTGTCTGTGTCTAGTAACTTTAATTGGCAGAGATGTGCAGCAGGGTAATAATAAACTAATAAAAAAGATAAAACAACAAATGAGATTATAAACCATAAAGTATTTTTCAAAATAAAATAAAAGTGAATGCAATAACTGCATATGTATTGAGATAATTAGGTATAACAATAACATGAATCAAACTCAATAAATATAATAAGGTGTAATGTCTGTTAATTAGATCAAACGTTCATAATCAAACGACTTTCTTTAGACAAGAGTTAAAAAAAATTAAACGGACACTTGGGCAACTTAATATTTCAAAACCAAAGGAAGCGATATATATTTATAAGATATATTAGCTATACATATATTTAAATTATAAACATTCAGTATATACAATACATGAATATCTATCATACATTAGAGCACGGGTTCATTCACTAACACCATGATAAAAGATTTTTTATGATTTTCTAAGAATTTCAAGTTTTTAATTGTTAAAAATGGAATATGAATTTGAAAATTCTGTTCAGAAGAAAGTTAGTTGATTTGGCTTACAATGATATGATTTTATCTGTAAAAGCACCCAGTTTTAAAATGAAAACAAGAGTTTTTTAAAGCAGGTGTTGTAAGTATGGGATGTTTTCAAATCCATGAAGATTTTTCTTTGAAACAGTTGTTATGCACTAAAATGTATTTATTGCAATTTAAAGAACGATATTTGATATTTGAGAATTGAATGAATTAATTATATCAACAGCTTTAAAAAATAAAATTCACTTCTGTACAAAAAATCATTTTACGCAGTTTACGGACAAATTAACACATACACTCTTAATCTGATGTAAGCAGCACTGGTTTTGCTACGACCACACGATTTTCCCTACAGCTTTCTTCCTTTTCAATGTTTTATTGAAAATCTTTGCTGATCAAATTTCTAACATCCAAATTATTTCATCTATTTGATAATGTGAGCACAAGGATTGCATTTAAATGGCAGCATTGGAAAAAGATATTTGATGTAGTTGTTTTTGAAAAAATCTGACAACTTTTGTAGTTTTTCGACAAAGTTCACTTCACATTATATTTTCACTGTTCTTTCATAAGAACTTTTGATTATTCACCTTTACCACGAGATTAATTTTTCTAAGAGAACGGTCAGAATTTCGGAAATACTAAAATTCCAGCAATTACACAGAATAAATTGAACAATTTTTCTCTTAGACTCGGACGCGGGGCATGACAAAGTAGGGGTATCAAGAAAGTTTTTTTTACGTTTTGAACTTAGCAATATGAACTTTATTTTTAAATATTTTATTACCGTTAAAAATTTGTTTGCATTTCAAAATTTATGAAACTTTTACAATAAAAATTAGAAAAACTTATTTATACCTTTATGAATAATTAGATTGAATGTTTGACATTGTAGAATAAAATTTGCCCCAGAGAAATGCAAAAAAATAAAAATTCTGAACCTTTGTTGAACGATAGGTTCAATAAACCACTTTAATCAAAATCACTTTGATTAGGCGAATAAGTGAGCAATGAAAATTAAATCTAATTTATAAATTTCAAGCAAAATTCAAGCATTGCATTGATTGTCGTTGAAACAGCATGTGAGTTTTTCCAGGGTTCCTCTCAGACTCGAGTGTAACTTGAAACCTGTTATTGCATTTCCATGCTATTGGGCTAACTAGGTAGGTAGTGGTGTCTTTTTCGTAAAACAAAATCAAATCATTTTGTATCGTTGATATTTCTTCAAAGGACATACATACATATTCATTTCAGTTTGAATAAATTTATAAAAAAGTGAAAAGATTGAAAATACATATTAACATGAAGTGAAAAGATCATAAGCATCACAAACAAATTTAAAATCGTTACAGATTTTGTAAAGCTTTTCTTTTATTCGTTTTATAAACTCATGATCATATTACGTTTTGAAAAGAGCATCCATAAGAGAACTAAATTTTCTGGTTGATAACTCTTCAAAGATTTTACGTACTCAAAACTTATTAAAATTGCGGTGATCTTTCGGGATCAACATTAAATGGCAACGCAATTCCATAAAAAGATAAAAAATATTTCGAACTTGCTTCATAATCCTTCTAAACAGAACTTTCAAATTCACATTCTACATAATTTGAATTGACGCATTGATGGATATTAATTTCAACGTTGACACACTCAATTTCTTATCATTCAGAATTTCATTTAGAATTTCTATTCATTGCAATGATAAAATTATTTTTCTAACTTTTTTAATTCGTTTCTTAATATTTTTGAAATAATACCTTCAGGTAGGTAAACTTGACAAATAGACGATTGATTGTAAATAGTGAAATTTTTATTTATTTAATTTATTTTTATTTTTTGGCTTCAAATGTTTTATCAGAAATAAGGAAAAATTTCGAAAAGAAAATTCATCTCTTCTATTATTTTCCATAAACTTATTAAAGATATTTTGAAGAACAAAATGTTCAATGTTTTAAATTTCCGGGTTAATGACATCACCATATTTAATAAATAATTACGTAGGTCA